GAGGCAAGATCGTTGACAGCTAAGATCGGCCGGATTGTGCATCATCACTTTTTATTGTTTAAAATGTATGTTAAAAATGTTCCCAATTATTTTAAATTTATATATATATTTTTTCATTTTATCTATTATTTCATTTTATTATTTAATCGTGTCAACATGGATTGACCTATATTGACCAGAAATTGTTTAATTTCTACCACCACCTAAATGAAAACACTATTTTTTCTATGTAGATTTTAAAAGCATATGCTTTTATGTTATTGAAATTATGAATTTATTAAGTATGGATTTAATTAATAGAACTTAATGATGAGCATAAACAAAAAAGGCTTAAATATATGATTCAATGAACATAATGCAAGTTAATAACTTGAATGTTGGATTTAATGAGAGTGAATTGAATGCATTGAATATCTTAAAATTATTTCTTTTAAACTCGTTTAATATCAATAACCTCGGTTTGGAAGGAGTACAAATACAAATTTGTAGAGTGCAAAACCTTATATTTTATATTATTTTGTATGTATTTGTACTCTATATATTTGCATTTGTTCTCTTTCCAAACTTAGCCTAAGAAATTCTATAAATATTCTTGAGACCATTCATGCTTTTTAAAGTAGTATAGATGTGAGGATTAGGGAAAGTTTATTTTCCTACCCATCTTGGAAAGTTGCCAACACTTGAATGGGACAAAAATACCCCATTTAATAATGGATTTTTATGGCTAAAATGGTAATTGCCTTATTTACATGGGAAATAAAAGAACATGGGTAAATGCACTTATCCGGGTAAGTGTTTTCCAGTAGAAACTTACCCAGGTAACTGCAATTATCCGAGTAATTAACTTATCAAAAAACGAATGGGACTTAAGAAAAAAATGGTTGTTTGTTTCCTCTTATCTCTTAAAGTGCAATCATATAACATTTTGTTTTCCAATGATATCCCAAAAAGACAAACATAAACTATTATATATGAGGTCAAAATGGATATTTGATAATTTTTAGAATTCAGAATTAAAAACAACATTTGCATAGAGATTTTAGAGGAAAGAAAAAATCAGTTATATCAATATACCTCTTAATGTAATTATTAAACTTCTAGATATAAGACTTTAGAGCAAACGAACAACAAGCCCTTAGTATCATTTATAAACATAATCACATAGACATTACAGTAATCTGAAAGGTTTAAAATGTCAAAGACAAATAAAGGAGCCGCTTATATATATTGTTGATGTGCTTATGCGATCAATTATCAAATGGGGCAAAATGGATCTGCCATTGAAGCTTTATGCTTCAGCCTTAAAACATAATGAAGCACCATGATCGGCTACCGAAGTATGATAAGTGTAGGGGGCATGTGGAATTAAGGAGGATTAGAAGAGGTGTAGATGTTGGGGGCGTCTGGCAACTCTTTCCAAATGGTCTTTCAAGCTTTTAAAAGCTTAGAAGACTTGATTTTGGGGTTTTTAGTTTGTTAACCATAAGACAGAAGCCGAAAAAACAGCTCCCTCCCCAGAAAGCTCAGATTTGTCTTCAATCCGAAAGCTTCATTTCAAGCTTCAGGTTTTTTTGAGCATATGAATCTTTCCGTTTTAGAAAGGGCATTCGAAAAACCCTCGTTTCCTGTGTTTAGGCTAAACGGATCTGCACCAGGTATGTTGTCCTCCATCTTCTTTCTTTCTTCCTTTTTTTTTTTTTTCTTCAGTTTTTTCTTTCTTATTCGATCCAAATCTCTACTCGTACCTCGGTTCCTTTCAGATCTTATCTCTCCCCTCTCTCACTTGCTCTGTCCGAAGCTAGGAAATCTGATTCAAAACCAGGTATGATCTCCATCATTTGATAGTGATGCGATCTCCTGATTTGCTTGTGGGACAACTTTTAGTTTGCTTCTTATTTTTAGTCGAATTTCGTCAAAATGAATGTTTACAGAACGCAGAAGAGGGCAATTTGTAGAAAAATTTCATCAAAATGATCTCCCGATTAACAGGTTAGTTAATAACTATTGTTAGATACCCTTTAGGGCTGTTGAGTTGTGCAATAGATTATAGAATGACGGAATGAATCTTCATCTTGTAATTCCTTTTTAAACTTGTTTCCGACGTCCAAAACCAGGTTCATATTTAAACTTCAAGCTTCAAAATTTTGGTGAAACTTGTTTCCACCGTATCAGATTAGCTCAGAGAACTTGTTTCCATTTTCCAAATGAATTCAACATGCAGCTCAGACCAATCCAAATTGATATATGGAACCTTTTAATTTACTTGCATCATAATATTGGACCCAGTTTATGTCATTTTGAACGATGCATCAAATGTTTTTCTATTCTACTTGAGTATGTAAAATTTTCCTTGAGTTAAACAACTTCTGGACTAGTATCCATAATAAGAGTTTGCACAGCCTATTCTGAAATGGAATCCATGAAGTAAAATAAGACGTAAAGCAATCTGTTATTAGTCATCACCCTTCCATTCTGCAGTCATTAGCTGCAACTTGAGGAAACCAAAACAAAACATTCAACATTTTTAGTGGCTGCAACATGATTGTGGGACCTCTTGGGCAGTGTTGATTCAATCTAATGACCATGTTCCAGATTCGACACCGATCATCTGTACTAGGCTGTCAGCACTTATGAATTATGTGATGAATTATATGGGGCCCACATTGATTTTTTGTATTGGTGAATGTGTGTGTGGGGCCCATAGTTGATGATCACATATGTCAATGTGTAGATGGAGACTACTTTGATATCTTGTATAGGAAAATGTATGAGGCCCACTTTAATATTTTACATAGGTAAATGTTTAAGCGGGACCCACAAGTACTATTTGCATGTTTGAATGTGTTACTAGGTCCCATACATGACATTTCACATGCATGTAAGAGGGACCGACAAGTATGTTCGCAAACGATCTTTCAATCTTTTTAGCTTTTGAGAAGATCTTTGAAAAAAAATTACAACCAAATGGTCTTTGATCTTTAAAGATCTACTTTTTTTGATGAATGATCTTTAAAGATCTATTCGTGAAAGCTCATTAGTCTTTGAGGTCTTGAGCTTTTGGAAGATCTTCCAAAAAAGTCTTTTGAGAGGGTGAAATGATTAGAGAAATCTTTGTGGAATTGAGTGAAGTGCTTGTGATGGTGAAATGGTTGGAGAAATGTCTGGTTGGTCATTTCGTCTACTCTAAAACTGATGAAGTGGAGGTGTTGAGATGGGTTAGATCGGTGTGGAGTTTGAAAGAAGATGTTCAGGTGAGGAAACTAAATGTAGGCTTTCCTTTTTGTTTTGAGTGGGAAGGAGGCAGACAAAGTCTTGGCATGAGAATCTACTAAAATAAGGTCGTTGGATCTTAGATTAGGTAGGTGAAACCTACTTGTGGGGGCAGGTTGAGAAGTGGGAATTAAGAGTCTAGTGTGGATTAACATTTTTGGGATACTTATTGCAAATGTCTTGTGCCATAGGAAATGCTTGCAGTTTCTTTAGAAAAATTAATGCTTGCACATACAAGATGAAGAATCTGGTAGCAACAAGAATTCTTTGAACAATTCTACCAAATTGGCGTTAAACTTTGCAGTAGAATGGTATGATCTAAGGTTAGTGATTGAAGGATGTATCCCACTTTGTTAGTTAGAGGAGGTCTCAACAGTTCTACTTGATTGAACTCAAGAATATGGTTGCCTTGCAAAAGGAGAGCTAATTTCAGGTGGCTGGAGGAGGAAGACAATGGAAGTCGAAGAGTAGGGGAAAGAGATAGTCATGCAGAGGATAGAGTTGAGGATCAAGAGAGGTTGGGGTCCAAAAAGAAATTTCAAGGAAAGGATAAGAGGACACTAATTAAAGAGGGACACGTGGAGGGATAATTTAAGAATGAATCCTTTTTGAGAATTGAAAGGAAGCAGTTTATAAGTGGGACCACTTATTAAGGAAGGAATTTGTGAAACATTTAAGTATTTTTAAGAACTGTGCGATCCTCATTGTTTTAATCAAGTGGTGGCTTGTGGATTCAAGGCTTGTTCGTTTGCTCTGAAGTTTGACATCTGAAAGTGCAATAATTACATTAAGAGGTATATTGGTATTGGTGGGCTTTTCTTTCCTCTGAACTCTAAAGGCAGAGAATGTTGTTTTGAATTCTGAATTTTGAAAAGGGGAGCAGTGGAGAAAAGGGGAGATTTATTCCTCTTAGAGATAGGAGTTAAGAGGAAACGAATAGGCCCTCAGTGGAGAAAAGGGGAGCAAGGAAAACAAAAAGAATAACAGGAAGGAAAGAAGGGGACGAAGGGAAAGGGAGGAGTGGGGAAGTCGAACAATCAGGGTGTATAGGGGAGCAATGGAAGGAAGTAGGAGAAGTTGAAAAGTCAAGGATGACCAAGGGTAAAATGGTAATTTGCAAAAGGGGTTAATTTAAATAATAAGGGCAAGAAAGGAAGAACAAATTTGGGGAGAGCCTCGAACTAATTAGAAGTGGGCCCAAGGCAATTAGGGTTATCAAAGAGAAAAAGTGGGAGACTTCATGTAATAATGGAATGAGGTACAAAAAGCCTTTGAAAAGGGGGAGACTTCTTATGATGGTGAAACATGGAACGAAGACCCTTTGAATTCATTGAATAGAAGGCTGGTTCAAGTGATTCATCACAATGTAAGGAAGAAGTCAACTAACGAATTTGTCTGTTGCACGACTAGGTACATCTACAATGAAGTCAATGGGAAGAATAAAATTGGCGGCGAACATAATAAGAACAAGGCAGCAATAGAGAAGGGTGGAGCCTAGAAAGGAGACCAAGAAGTGTTTGTGATGAGAACAAGGGATGAGTTGGTCAGCAATGGTTTTTCAACTACTAAAGGAAATCCTACAACTAAGTGATTGGTGGATTATAGCAAGGGGGGAATGGGTGAAGAAGATAGCAGTGGATGTTAGGAAGGCAAGCAAGACGAAAGAGAGAATCAAAGTTTTACATGCAAAGTCTTATAGGAAGAGTGGTGGGAAAGCATTTTGATACCAAAAAAAAAGATTGAGCGGTCTCAGAATGGGAAATAGAGAAGGTGATTGGGGTGAGGAAGTTGAATGCGGGGCTTTTATTGTTTATGTATCATAGTAGATAGTTCACAAAAATGGGTGTTGGAAATAGAAAAAACAAAGGAAAGGGAGTTTGAGTTGAGATTGGATTGGTAGTTTCTGGTGGCTAGAGGGATATTTGCAAGCAAGAGGAAATATGTGATGCGATTGGAGAGATAGTTGCAGAGTGAACTATGGTAGATTCCCAAAATACGATGACATGAATAGAACTTGGAGAGGCTCAACATGGCCAGGATTTTAGTCGAGGTCAAAGATGACACTACTGTTCTAGATAGCTTGAAACTTGAATTTGTAGGGGAACTCTACGAGTTGAGAATATTAGTTGAAGGTGTTGGTGGATTGTTTTAGGAGGAGGAAAAGGATTTGGTGGAGAGAAGGATAGAAGGAGAAGAGGTGATGAATGAAGGAGCTGGGGTTGGGGAGATGTAGGGTCACCTAGTTGTAGAGCAGGGGAGGCGGAGTGGGAGGGGAGTTGAAAGATCGATTAGAAAGAGAAGAAGATAAGGTTGAAGCTCCTTTAAATGGTAGGGTATAGGCAGGTAAGGAGGATGAGTTGACGGAAGGCCAAAAGTTAGGAGTTGGCATGGGAAAGTAAGGAAAGGGGAAACATGTGGTAGCAAATAGTTTTAAGCATGGTTTTCAAAATCGGACTGGACCAGAAAATTGGGAACCAGTCACCTAATTGGTTCCATTTCACCCTAAAACCGCTTTTTGGCCAAAAATTGTTGATTTGGTTAACGATCCGCTCACCTGGGTGGTTGAACCGTCAAACCATCGACCTGACAACGGTTTTGGCAATTTTTTATTTTTTCTAAAGTTTTTTAAAGTCAGAATGGGCTGTCCGTTCGAACTAGATGGTCGAACTGTTCGACCTAGGAATCGGTCCCCAGAATGGTTCCTTGTCTGGTCTGGTTTTAAAAACCTTGGTTTTAAGCCTAAGAGGGGGAGTGGGGACCATTGTTATAGGTTTATGTTTGACTTTAGCAAGGGGAGCTTGGGTAAAAGGTTTAAAGGGGCAAGGGTTATTTTGGGGAAAAAGGCATTTCTTTTTAAAGAAGGGGGGGTTAACCTATTGAGGACTAGGGGTGCAACTCGAACGAGTTTGATTGGGTTCAAGGTCAACCTAGGCCAACCCTAAAGGTGTAAACCTTGGGCTCGGGCCTTGTCCAACCTGAGGTTAAGCCCAAGTTTATCAACTAATTTTTTAAGACTTCGATCGGATCAAATGATTGGACCGTTCAACCAGAAAATTGGAAGGCATTCCAATTTTTTTAAACCCCATTTTTTATAATTTTGAAAAGCTGGAAGAATCGGTCAAAACATGACAAAACCGTTTAAAGGGTCAAGGGTTATTTTGGGTTTGAATGATCCAACCGGTTTTCATGACTTGCTTGGGTCACTAAATCCAGATAAGCCTAAAAAATGCAAATGCAAAGACTTACTTGAGACCTCAAACTTATACCTATAAGATCCAAACCATCAATTTATCATTCCTTCTGTGAATTTTTGTGTATTTTAACATATATATTGTATAAATACATATGTAATTTTTAGTGTTTAGAAAACCGGACTAGGCCAGCCGATTGGACCGGTTGAACCATGACCCAGGGCCCTGATTGGTTCGATTGCACCCAAAGAAATGTAATGTCTAAAAACCCGGTGAAAACCGGATGACTGTTCGATTTGACTAGAAAACCCAGTGAACCTGTCCCGGTCACTAGAAAACCCAGTTCTCAGTCAAATCCTTCGCTCATTACTTATTTGATAACACCCGGGAAGAGATGCCTGCATCTATAATCTGGAACCCAATCTCTCCTTCAAAGATTAATGTTTTGGTTTGGGCTGCAACTCTAGAAAGATGTTTAACCAAGGTTCATCTCTCAAAAAGACGTTTTCAGCTTCAAGATTTGTTTTGTGTGCTTTGCGGCCAAGATTTGGAGGATATTAATCATCTTTTTCTTCACTGTCCTATATCGGCTAAGATCTGGAATCATTACTTTTCTGCCCTGGATCTGCACTGGGTCATGCCTAGGTCTGTAAAGGAGCTGCTGAGATGTTGGGAGCTGCAAGGTCTGTCAAAGCTAGCAAAAAGTCTGTGGAGGTTCATTCCGGTGCCTGTAATCAGCACTATTTGGGCAGAAAGAAATAAAAGAATTTTTCAAAATCTGTCCAAAGATCCAGAAGATCTGATTGCATTTACATTTGGAAAATTGCTGTCTTGGATCTCAGCCCTAAAGGGGTTTTGGGTCTCTCATCTGGGGGCTAGACTGTCCTTTGAGAATTTGTGGAATTTGTAATGTTGTATGTTCTGTTTGATCTTTCCCCAAAGTCTGGTTTGTGGGGGGGGATCCTCTTGTACTTTTATCTCATCTTTAATGAAATTACCTTACCTTTTCTCAAAAAAAAAAAAAAAA